GAAGTCGTCAGCCTTCTCGATGAATTTTGATCTAAAGCGCCAGATCGAAAAAATTACCCACCGTCTTGCGAGAACAATAGGTGAATGATGACATTTCTGGAGAACCTCCAAAAGCTTGTGCCGCCAGGACAAACAGATCCGAGTCAAAAAAGGCATCCAATACGATGATCCCCATCGACCAAGCTACTGTTAATTGTGTTTGCTCATTTTCATCTTCACATGCTGAAGTGGAGGTGGGTCGCATTCCACGGAGATACACCACCGTACAATTTTCTATGGAAAGACCGTTTTAGCTGCCATCCTTATGCCATCTTGATGCACAGGCACGCTTGGTTCCTTCCACAGCATGGATCCCTTGGAAACTTCCCAATATGCCGGAAACAGCTCCGTTGCTTTGGCCATTGCTGAACAATCCCACTTGTTCTAAGGGTTTGTGTTGGTGGGATTATCCATTTGAAGATTGTAGTTGTTGTAGGGGAATTTCGATCCATTGACATTCCAAATCGGATTAGATGGAATGACGCTTTGACAATAATATCCAGCAATGCCAAAAAAGAGAATATTAATATACGCGAGGAAGCCAGGGGGAATTTAGTGGTTTGAAAGTTTGCGGTTGTTTTGGTATAGTAGGTTTTTAGTAATTTACGTGGGTTTTGATATATATATATATATGTATTTATATATATAAATATAGTTGTATCTCTTGTATGTGATATAATGCATAATGTAATGAATGTCCACCTTAGTCGTCCTCGTGGCTTAGTTGGTATCGCGGCGTTCTTGACGTCGCTGACAGAGTTCCAGTGGTGGTTCGATCCCCCGCTGGTCCGCGAGTAAGACTCAAGTTCACAGGACCGTGCCTCAGAGCATAAACGGCCGTCCGAACAAAAAAAAGTAATGAATGTCCACCTTGAACTATAACTGTACTTGTTCAGTGTTGTTTGTAGGGGGCATTTCACTATATGTAATGACCAATACATTTTGGCTCAAGGTGGCATTCATTACGTTATTGCTTTAGCTGTTGTTTGATTTTTTTCCCCCACCACACCTCTTAAGGCTTCCCGTAGGTTTCGAATAACGGATTCAATTCGTTCAGTTTCCTTGGACTTGCAACCAGGGAACTTAGTTCTGCGTAGGTACACGTTAGGGACCATAGGATATGCATCCGACCTTTCCAATATCCGAGCATCCGATATCATGCATTCGACGCTGATTTCCGACAATCAGGTGCTTTCGCATTCGAGCTCTTTCCAACAGAGCCACTGCTATGAACATCCGTTATCACCTTCGGAACGAATTCATTGAATTTATGAATTTGCGCGTCACTCTTCATGTCCAAGACATGGGGGGGAATTTCGATCCATTGACAATCCAAATCGGATTAGATGGAAACTGATGCTTTGACAATAATATCCAGCAATGCCAAAAAAGAGAATATTAATAAGCGCGAGCGAAGCCAGGGGGAATTTAGTGGTTTGAAAGTTTGCGGTTGTTTTGGTTTACTAGGTTTTTAGTAATTTACGGGCGTTTCGATATATATATATATATAGTTATATCTCTTGTATGTGATATAGCGCATAATGCAATGAATGTCCACCTTGAAGGGTGTTGGACTTTGCATCCACTCAAACTTCGTTGACAATGCAGTTTAGTCTGGAACCAAAGCATCCAACGCCGATCCTGGATCATGTTCTACCCTTTTTGGGATTGCAGGACACAACATGCCAAGTCAACGAATATATCCTGCCCCTGAGATCCTCTGAGAACATCGCTACAATTTACGATCTGCTCAAGCCTCGAAGCTTGCCAAGAGCGTTGGATCCCATGGGACGAAGACCTGAACTCAACCTTCCGGTACCACATGCTGATCACAGAACCAGTTTTATATGGTCGCATGTCTGAGTATGCTCTTCGGCAAAACCATGCCGTGCAGATGTCTTCTTCGACCGACCCCAGATGAACCATGTCGTCCATTTAGAACTTCACCTCTTGTCGCACGTCGAGAGCATTGAATTATTAGGACGCCTGTATCGGGAATTTCGGTCCATGCGAGCCGAAATTGCAGCCTCAAGCTAAATTTCGGTTCTTGTCTAGAGAAAGGACTAGTGCAATGAACGTGCAACCACACCGTTCCCTGCAATCTTTCTTTACTGAAGTTCTCATAGTGCAACACTACATTTAACAGCTCAATGCTGTTGAAAAGAGTTTGATAGAAATCTCAGATTTCTTTGACGAGAAGAATATGATGGCTCCCAGCCAGTTGATCGACCACATGCGCCTTGAAGTGCGGCAGTTTCGGGTGAACTTCAATTTCATTTCAACCCTCAAATTGCTGCAAGCTTGCTGCCAGTCACAAACACACCTGCAGCAACATGGTCGTCTTCCATTTTTTGACCTCAACTTGCCATCATCAATGATTTACTTCTTTCTCCACTTCATCGGCTCTCTTCGTTTGCCGGGGCCTACCCGCGGCGCGATGCATGACAGAGACCAATTTTCCCCAATGACAAAAATGAGCGGCAGCCGTTTGAGTGATGGTGAAGCACATGCATGTGAAACGAACAGTTCAGATGTATCATGAAACAGATTGTGCGATCACTGCGGCACATGGTTTAAGACATGTAAAAATGATTCTTCCCGGCTACTTGATGATGTGTTTGACATGATGATATGGTGGACATGAAGGTGTGAGAACTAACCGTGACAACTCGTCCGTAACTCGGAAATTTGCTGACTAAACTTCCGGTGAATGCTTTCAGGAAAGGTAGCTTGCTAGCTGGAGTTGGATTTGCTTTAGCAATGAATTGGGGGCAGATTATGACCCCCCTCCGCCCCTAGGCTCAACTCCGCCGCGTCCATCCCACTGGGTTTCATTTTTGTGACCACGCGTTCGCATGCCCACGAAAAAACATATACAAGATATTTTCACCGTGAGTGTTGTGAATGTAATGCAATGTAGTAAAATCTAACCTAAACTAATGTAATGCAATCTATTCTAATGTAATGCAATCGAATCTAATGTACATATACGTAAGTTATTCAGAGACGTATATAATATACATATACAGTACGTCACGGACAGGAACAAGGAAGGAATGGCCGAGGGAAAAAGGTTCAATCGGATGGTTGCAAAGTGGCTCAACTGAAGCGAGCTCGGTTGGGGCACTTTATATTTGGCAAGTAAGGTACCAAGAACGTAACGTTGACGCTGGTATGTTAATGATTATGGTGCATGCGAGCTAGAATATCATGATACTTTGCTGTTAGCGGGTCAGCGACACCGAATGGTAGAACTGACACCCAAAAGGTCGCGCCACATATTCTCTCAATACACATCCCCCCTTGCCCGAGTAGTTTTTGTCCCTTTGCTTTTGGCCTCAAGTCGCTGTTTCGTTGCACAGGGTGATGTTGGGCATGGGAACAAGTTTTTCCTAGTATGATGCAGCGTTGGGAAGTATTTTTTTGATTGGTTTTGCAGTGCGGATTTCAAATTGAAAAAATGTTTCGGAATTTGTACGAAGTAGTTTTGTTTTTTCTTTGTCGGGCAATAAGACGTAGGATTGGGAAACGCTTGATTGAAACCGTGGCATAATGTAGTATTGAACTTGGACATCAATGTTTCGAATGCATTGAATTCCGGTGATGATTTCGGTTCAAAAAAAATGGTTTCAAACTTGCGTTACTTCGAAAAAAAAAAATCTAACAACAACCTCTACCGTTCATCTGATTAAACACAGACGTTTTCTCTCCGTGTGCAATTTTTTTGATTTTGGCAGAGATCTTTGCAAAACAGAAATATTTAAAAAATGGAAGGGCACATGATGGGAAACATTTTGGTTAAATTTGCGTTGGGTCCGTTGGGTGCTTGGCTTTTCGGTATGCTCTGTGGATCTAGCTTGTTTTTTGTGTAATTCGCGGCCATGCCAATGCGTTTTGCCACCTTTAGTTGCACTCCGCAAAGCGAGAACGTCACGAGCAACCTGTGCGCAGCGTGCATAGTGCGGACTTTGGCCCTTCAGTTGTAAACTCTGCCTTTTTTGTATTTGATTTGTTATTTGTATCTGGTGACCTGGCGTCGCAAGAAACATGACAAACGACCCAAATGGGTATGGTCATAACTGGGTGTCCAAAAATCAGGTGTTTCGGAATGGAACGTGTGTAGGCAAATTGTCACTTCCACGGTTTGGAATGATGACTCAAATTCAAATCAAATATATGTGTTGGGCAATTTCCTGTGCATGTGCCCGATACGAATATTTTTTTCATATTGTTTGTCAGGTTTCGGTTTTGAAACGGTGGCATCAAGCAATCCGACTCGAAGGAATAAAATTGAACACCCATGGCCGCCTTGAGGATCTGGTCATGACATGGACTAAACTATTAATATTAAAATTAAACGAGCAATGGTTACCCTGACAGGAACGACTGAAGTTCTCTCGGACAGGCAGGTATTGGTTTCAGAGTACCAAAAAAAATAAAAAGGAGTGCATTTGTTCATGAGGAACACGAGGCTGCAAAAACATGATGCCCAAAGTCCCGAAGTCAGAAAAAAAATAACAAATATTCAACTTGATCATTTTCCTTGTCTATTTTTGCTGGGGGTTTCTACAGTGTGGGCGTTCCCCACTTATAAGTTGGTTTATAAACCCCATGAACTGTAGTTATAAGATGTTATAAGTATCATAATGATTTGAACTATGTTCACCAACTTAGCTATCGGAGCTGTGACCTCCGGATGGTGTGTCATGAATACCGCACCGGTGCTGACTGTTGATTACTTCAATGGTGCTGCACCTCCAAACTTTGGTTGCCAAGAGGCTCAAAATTGATGGGTGCCAGCTGCCGTAGCACAGGTGTTGCACCCAACCCCAGCCAAAACTCACCGATCTCATGCCTTTGGCGTTCTCTTTGCAAGACATCAACAGTCCTGTTTCAAACCAAGTGCACATGTTTGCGCTGCATTTTCGAACACAAACTCAGTTTTTCCTAACCAACAATATCGACATCAAACCTTCTACACGTGTTGGCATCTCGCCACGTGACACCAGGCGGCACCGGTGATGGGTGGGTTTCATTTGCAACATGATGTAAACCACTCTAACCACACTTCGGACACACTATAAACTCACTAAACGTCTCATGATCCACATAGCCTAAAACATCTCAATAGCCCATTTACCAACCACCCAGAACCGCTTGTGAACCCTTGGTGAACCCTTGGTAAGTGGAGTCTACCAATGTGAGTCTACCGATGTGAGTCCACCATCCACCCAGTCCATCGTCAGGGCTAAGATGCCGGTGTCCGGGGCCCGGAGACCGGTGTGATGTTTGGCACTGGTGGACGTGGGGAGGGTCATTTTTTGGTGGTTTCAAAGATTGATGTCCGTTTTGGGACAATGATCCCTGGTGGACCATATTCTTCTTGGTGGGGCTTTAAAATTACCAGCAGATTGTTTGTCATGTGCGTTTTGGGAACACAGATTCTCACTCCTTGACTTCAGGACACGCAGAGAAACATGGTGCATCCTGAAAGCTACGGAACCACAAACGTGGAATTCACCACTTGATTTTATCACAGTGCACTGAAAATAGTGAGAATTATGAAAAAATGAAGTAACTTCCAAGTCATTTTGAAACATCCATTCAAATCTCCTGGAATGATGTGGAACTATAATTTGCTATGATCATTATGATAGATTCTCCTTAAATGCATTAAACATCCAGTGATTTTTGACCCAATTGGTGACATTGGCGGCCTGGAATTCTTCAGGTGTGGTGTCCCTGACAATCTCTATGTGGGCCGACAGTGCGATGGGCCATGGGGCCAAAAAAAAAAAACTGGGTTTTTAAGATGGTGAACAGCTAAAGAAATGGTTCCTAGAATTGAGATGTTTGAATCATTTTGATAATTGACGAGTTTTGATGTTTTTGGATGTTTTTTGGGTTTGGGCGAAATTTAACTGCGCTTTTGGAATTGCCACCAAGGATTTTTGTGTCTTTTTCCGCAGACGCCGTGACCAGGTACACTTCGGTTGGCGACCTTCGAAGTATGCTCAAGGAGGCTTCGGCCGTGCCTCTGGCTGCATAGGTAAAATTTGGGATACATAACGGGCTAAACTGTGAGGGAAAACCCCGATACCCTCCAGTAAACAGGTAAGGAGAATTCACCATTTCTAGACCATTTCCTACCCGTGGAAATCCTAGCTATGTTAGTTTACTGGATGTTTCCAAAACTTGTTGAGAGCCGTTCTTTTTTGCGGCATGTATCATTGTCCTGTGGAGCGGGGGTTGAGGCAAAATTTGATTTCGTGGTGGTGGATTTGTCTGGAACCCCAAGGGGCACATCGGTTGGATGTGGCTGGGCGCTGGTGTAGGACAGGATTAGCAGTCCTGACTTGAGGACCCAAAAATATGGGTTTGGTACGTGAAAATGGGGGACTAACCGAACCCTAATTTAGCTTAATTTTCATGGGGAAGATTATGATAATCTGGTAAAGCATCACATTTGGGTCAGTCTGTTTTTCAGAGAAAACCAGAGATATTTGGGCGACCTGGGATTTGAGGGTTGACCGGCTCTTTACACGAGTGAAGAGTGTTTTTTCAGTAGCCAGGTGAATGAGTGAAGAGATATTGGTTTGTATGAAAATTAGGGATCTCAAAATTTGATGGTTTATCACCATTTCCCCTAGTAAACTTGCAATTTTGGGGTTCATGCCCCATCTTCAGACACAGACACACACACACACACCCGAAATGCTGTGTGATTTATCAACCATAATATGGCTCCATGTCCTCTATTTGGACTTCGGCCCATCCGGCTTGGTTGCTCACCGTTAAACGGTGTGTATGGGCCATCACATCTATTCATCAACACCTGGGAGGACAGTTCCATTGCTACTGACCGGAACAACGGGACTTAGTCTCTAGGATGTTTCCCGAATACAGCAGATCAGTTCTTACATATCTATCCATCTATCTATCTGTCTGTCTACCTATCTATCCATGTATCTATTTACCTATATATATATATATATGTATATTATATAGATAGTTGATTGTGAACCAACTTATAGATCCTCAGAACTGGATCGAACTGGTGGGTGATGCCCTTGGATAGTAAGAACATCCAATTTTGATATCCCCATGATATATACACATCCACATTCACATTCCCCAATATAACATATCCCCAACGCTTTTGTCCTTTTACCAACCTATTGGTCAGCCCCACTTCTAACTTCACGGAGAAGTGCAGCCGTTGGTTAGTGGCGCTTAGTGCATCCCAGATGTGCTGCTTGAATCTCCATGGTGATCCACTTGCGCCAAGCACTACCTTGACATGTCGTAGATTCACAGAATGTGCATGCCATATACACAGAAACAGTCACAAACACATATAAACAGATGAATTTCAAGAAGGTCTCACCTTGAATCTTCTTGCAGCCTGGTGGCACCGTTGCAAAGTCTTCCGCCATGGCGCCGACTTCACACCTGTCCAGGCCGAATCGATGGCTGGACAATCCTGTAAATCCCGAACATGTAGGCCTGTAATGGCCTGTAGGCATCAGATTATCCATCCGGTCATTTCCCCCTTACGCATCCACCATGTTTTCGTGGCATCGTTTCACCAGGATTCCCATGGCATCATGGCATCCCTCAGGACCGTGCTGGCGCTCCTCTGGCGCCTGTGTGATGCCGGGCAGTCCATGATCAGTCTGGGCATCCGCGCTGTGCCTGGGCGGACTTGGATGACTTGGATGACTTGGATGACTTGGGGGTCTATATCATTCCGGCAAGGTGAGGTCCCCTAGTTACCCTCTGGTTATGACTAACATAGCTATTGAAAATGGCCATTTATAGTGGATTTACCCATTGAAAATGGTGATTTTCAATAGCTATGTTAAATTACCAGAGGGTACTATAGTTATACGTTACCCCTCAAACGTTGAAGATACTCTGGAAGACCACAATTGTGCAGCTCCTGAAACGGTTACCTATGGATGATCTGAGAGATCAAGCAGTCGAGATGGTCAGTTCCCCCTGTCCACTTTGACTGTGAATCCCAGTGAACTCAGCGCCTCATCACCGTCGTCATTTTCCTCCACATTTCCACCACTTGAAAAACACGTAGTGTTTTCTCCCCATAATATCCCATAATATAAGCATGGTCAATTTTTTCTCTGTGTAATAGGGGTTGGGGTTGGTAAATGTCAAATCAATGGGGAATTTTCAGCATCACCAAACTGGATAACTGGATAACCCAGGTATCGTGTCGCACTGCTGGTTGATTCCGTAACCTCCACTGGTTGATCCAGTTGTCAACCTTCGCTTGCAACGGAGAGGGTCCAGGGTACCTTCTTTCTGAGAGGTGAGATACATGTAGTTCCAGCTATTTTATGAATGGTCAACCTGCCTCCGGTTGAAACGTCGACCTCTGGTATCTACTGAAAGTGGCAACCAAAATTCGCGAGGTTCCTAGGTCAAACGGATTGGCTTCTTGCGGTTTCGTTGCGTCTGTGGATGTGCGGGTTGAGCGATCAATGGGTCTGAACACAGAGTTCCCTAAAATCCAATATCGTGAAGCCCTTGAGATAGAACTGTTTTCCAGAATGGATTGGATGGTGTTTTTCCCACCAGGTGTCCCAATTTTGGTTCCCTTTTCGGGCTAAGTTTTGGGTGAGTCCCATTTTGGACGCCAAATCTCGTAGTGGTTCTATATCCCATTCTATCCCTATAAAACAGTTAATAGATCATTATATATATATACTTATATTAATGATGCATTATTTTTTTCGAGTGTAAGATACTGTAAAACATCCTATGCCCCGAATTCCCCATGAAATTCTTGCGGCTTCACCAACTACCGGCAGGGATCGAAGTTCGAAGAAGTATTCCAGCAGAGCGATGCCGATGGCAACGGCCTGCTGGAGAACGATGAATTGACCCACTTCGTTTCCTGACACAAGTCACCATGGTTGTTTCAATCCTAAGTCACAGTCAAATGACTTGGATGATTTGGGTACCCCTATTCTAGGAAACCTCCATTTATTCGTCCATTGATGTTGGGGGTAAGGTTAAGCAGAAAATGGGAATTTAACCAGCAAAAACGGATTTCACCAATCAAAATTGGTGATGGCTCAGAATTTTAAGGAAAACCACAGCCACAGATGAAGTGGTCATTTTCATCCAGTATGCGATACGTTTTTTTTTTTGGACACAGGAATTGGGACACAGCAATTTTGGACCGTGGGTCCAATGGTCATGATTTCATAGGATGAACATCCTGAGAAATTCTCAGGATACCAGCAGCCAAAGCACCATTTCGGAGTACTGGTTCATGGCTCCTCGACCTGGATGGAGGAGGTTAGGGATATAGGGATAAGCAGTCGTATGTGATGTTATCTACACACTTGTGAAATACAACCCGCTAGTTGAAAGGTTGAAATCACCCCCACAAAATTTTTGGGACATGCACTGAATTCCATACTTCAGTCCTTCTACATCCTTGACCACCCCAGACTGCAAGAAACCCTGGTTCATCACCGGCAATTGATCTCCCAGTGGTGGATGAAGGGGATTTGCTCCGGAATTTCTGAGATCTGGGAACAAACACATACTTTGAACAGGAAACTCACCTCTTTTTGGCATCGGAAGTTCAAGCGATCACCAGGTTTTCTGAAATGCCCCAGATGAGGACTGGTCATATTTTGCAAGCTTGAATACCCTCTGGTAAACATACACAAAGCTATTGAAAATGGCCCATTGATAGTTGATTTACCTATTAAAAATGGTGATTTTCCATAGTTATCTTAGTTTACCAGAGGGTATCCGTTATTTTGATTCTTGCTCCATGAATTTGAGCCATTGTGAGTGACTGGGCACCTGGCCACCAGAGGCACCCTTCGAAGCGACGCTGTACGCGGAGGAGAACTGCGCAGGTGCCAGCAAGTCGACTACGGCCTCCAGCCCCACGTCGTGAAGATCTGGGCGATGTCGAAAAAATGATGGTTGGGCTTGGGGGGCTTGGGTGTTGGAGAATCATTACCATGGCCACCTCATTTTGGGAGAAAAGTGAGTTTGTATACTGTGAGATGAAACGGAGTAGTAAGTACCTTATTTTCAGTTCCATTTGCGGAGTAGTAAGTACTCTATTTTCAGTTCCCAAGTTTGATCCTGAGCCATACCTAATTTTTGTTCTTGGGGTGGCATGGCTTCGTGGAACCTACTATTTGGGATGATGTTGGCCCATTCAAATGAGATCGTTTGATGCTGATTGGCCAAGGAGTTTGGGGTCCTGCGAACTTTTTCACCAAGTCCCAAGTCCCTGAGTTCTGGGTCATGTCTGCTGCTAAACGCTTGGGGAATGAGGGAATGATCCAATCCATATTATACTTACTGGTGCTTAGCAGGGAATTTTACGGAATGATCTACAATCACTAGTAATAATCATCCCAGCAACCCCAGCAACCTTGAGTTGTCCGTGGTGGCTACAGAAGGGTCTTCTGCCAGCATTTAAAAATACAAAAAAAATGCGAAAAAAATACAACCCAAAAATACAAAATCAGAACTGCAGGGTTTGGAAAATACAAGTGGTTGGTTTTGTATTCTTTTTGCAATTTGTTTCCTGATTTCCACAGTGAACACGGGGTTGGCTCTCTGGCTTATTTTTGAATTTGTCTTTTTTTTGTATTTTGTATTTTTGAAATTTTGGGTTCGTTTTTTTTTTGTATTTTGTATTTTTGAGCAATTGCATTCGTATTATAGCATATATATATATATGTACTTTTTGGTTATATATATAATAATGTATAGATATATATATATATATATTTATTTATTTACAGTATACATATATATTGTGCGGAGACATGCTCCAAAGAGATCCCAGTCCACATTGCCGGATCCTTTGTTTGGCCTGAATCCGGCAGTATTTCAGTGCTTCTGGCATCCTTAGGTAGCAAGATTTGCAAGACCTGTGGCCTGCATTGCAAAGACTGTCAAGGGCAAATGGGGGCACCCCCACATGATGGTTTATAATGGAAAAATACCATGAAAATTGATGATTTAGGGGTACCCCTATTTTTGAAATCCACCCACATCGTTTCAACGTTTGATATGTTGGGGATGATCATAATCCATGAAGCTATGGCCATTTATAACCAGTAAAAACTGGTTATAAATGGGATTATACATCCCATAAATTGGGTTAAAAAGTATTTGTAACTGATACACGGCCACAACTATGGGTTTCTGATAATTAAACTCGGGTTTATATCTCATTCGTGAGTCTCAAGCCCCCTTATGTCGTCAGTGGCGAATTTT